TGAATTGAAGCAGAACAAAGTTTATACTCACAAACAATACAAATACATTGACAGAATAGTTCTTTACACAAACAATGGAAAATGTTATAGAATAGCAGTCTTTGCTGAACCTAAATATTTTCATAAAGCAAAGAAAGTTGGTATAACTGAAATGGTGAAAGTTCTTGAAGCAGACAAAAATATAACTTCAAAACTTACAGATATTACTAAAGGAAAGTTTATAATACAATATTATGTCAAAACTGGCGTACTGTCAATATTTGACGGAGAGAAGTCAGTTCAAGAACAACTTACTGACCTGCTGCCAAAATCTGCTCGATGGAAGCTGTCGTTATGCCAATCTGAGGAGCCCCAGCAGGTTTCATCGAACGAATCTTCAAAAGAGCATCTTCCGTGAAAAGTGCTATTGGTTTTGTAAACTTCTTTGCTCTCAATTCATCTGGACCGTCTCTGTCACCAGTATATTGTATTTGAACTGTACCAACAGTTGAAATACTACCCATAAAGTCTTCTGAGTCAGCAAATGGAATGCCAAGCCAAAAGTTTGAACGGTCTCCATTTGTATATTGAGTTTTTTGACCTCCTGTATGAGTCCATACTTTCACATATGGCATAATAGAACTTTGCATTTCAGGGTTAATAGTTGTTGTGAAGTTGTTGTTAAAGTTCATAGCATCTAATGTCAAGTTGTATGACCTCATATCCTCAACTGTAGAATATTCTTCTCTTGGATAATATTTGCCATCTATGTTTATATGATATTTAATACCAGGGTTGTAGAAACAAGAATAGTCATTTATAGTTCGTCTGAACAGTACAAACATAGTATCTGCATGTTTCATTGCAGTTGTTAAAGCAATATCTGTTCTTGCACCTGCGGCTCCTGGATTTTGGTTTCCAACTTCACCTGCAAAGTCTTTGACAGATATTTGGTGTATAGGGAACATAAGTGGAACTGCAATATATTTGGCAGCTAAAGCATTTGAAATATCTGGGTCCAACATATAGACTGCAAGTCTGCTTTCTATTCTCTTGCATTCAAATTTTTCGCATGTGAACTTAACTGGGTCCCAAGCAGTTCCAGCAGCATTGAAATAATAGTTTACTTCATTGTTGAAGTTTGAGAAACCAAAGTCTAAGTCAACTTTGTCTTTGCAAAATTCGACGAATGACGTTTGATTTGTTCCCTTTACGTCTGTAATAGTGAATGGGTCTTGTGTTGGTGCAATGACTAAGTTATTTTTGCTTGGAGTAAGTTCGATAGAAATTTTTCCTGCCCAGTTTGGCAAGTATCTTAAAAACCTGAAGATGAGGAAAGATGACAAAGGAACTCTAAGTTTCAGTTTTACTTTAGTGGCAGCAGTTCCATCTGAACCAGAAAGGTTAACATAAACTCCTGGAACGTTAGGGTCAAGTCTTCTTATTTTCTCAATAGTTGCATACTGGTCTGTTTGTTCTCTAGCTTGTGGTTGTACTGAGTTTCTCAAAGCGAACCATTCATAGTTTGCCCATGTTACTGTTTGAACTAAGTCAGAGTTAGAATATATCTTATATCCCATGAAAACTTCTGGAGCATATTGGTATCCGACATAGAAAATTCCATTGCAACCTTTCTTGTCAGACAACTTGGAAGAAGGTTTTATTTCAATGTCTTGTTCCACGTATAAGAATGAGTTGTCAATAGAAATAATATGAAACCTGTCGCAAGCAATATCTACTGTTGTTGAAGAACCTTCTCCAAACTCACCTACGTTTCCATAAGAAACAGCAGTTGTATATTCGTAAGTTCCAGGAACTATTTCTGACCTTCTAATGGCATTATCGCATTCGTTATACCATTCGGAAACATTTCCGTTCATGGCATCCAAAACTGTTGGCGTTATATTCTGAGCGGCGTACATTTCATATGGGTAAAAATATAGAATAGTTGGATTTATATGTCATAATAGAACCCACTCGGACCAAGCTTTACTTTCTTCCTGACTGAGTTTTTAACTGAATCTTTAACTCTTCTTTTTCCTTCATTGCCACTACTTTCACTAGATGAAGTTACTTCTTCACTACTTTCACTTTGTTCTACTCTTCTTCTTTGGTGTCGCTTTTGGTAACTTGCCCTCTGCTTCAAGTTGTAGCATCTTTGCCTCATGTTCACCTAGTATGTTGTAAATTTCCCATGTCCTTTTTGCCTTTGGGCTCTGGTCGCCCATCTCAGGTAACCTATATCCTAGAAAGATTTTGTCATAGTTTGTATTTGAGTCTTCGCTTATTGTTTGCATGACTCTTTCCTGAGTTTCCGGTTCAAGCTCTTCAAACAGAGCTTGTCCATATGGAATAAGCTCGTTTCCAAATATATGTTTTTGTAGCCATTCTGGTTTTCTTTCCATGTAACCAATAATATCTTTTGTGAATGGGAAAGCTTTTACCCAACGTTTCAGTCTTGCGTCATTTATTTCTGTAGTTGGTTTTATTTTGTCATGGAACATGTTTTTCAATACTAACATTTCATTTGGTACTGTCCATTTGAGTTTTCTTAAATATTCATCCCTTCTCATTTCATTGTCTGCAAAGTAAGTTTTTATGACATTTTGCAAACTTTCGTTTGCAAGGTCATGTACAATAGGTTCTCTTCCTTCTCTCTCCCTAACTTTCTTTCTAAACTCTTCACCAAATATACCATCTCTATGGTTCTGTGTAGTTCTTTGAGATAAATGTTCTAGAACGTCAGGTGTTATATTTCCCTCAGCCATGTTCATTTCATACTGGTCCAAAATATCTGCATCTTTCATATCTTTCAATGGCATTAAAGCCGCGCTGAAAATACCGTTATATCTGGTTCACCATTCACTTCCATTGCGTCTACAACTTCTTGGAATTGAGGTTGTAAGTTTATGAACCACCTATCCGGATTAGCTTTATGACCCCATTTCATTGTAGTTCCATAGTCTGCAGAAACAAAAGTAGGTTTGTTTCCATATTGGTTAGGTTCTGAATGAACTTTAAACAATGTTTCATTTCTATATGTTTTGTTGAAATTTAACCTTTTATTTTCACCGAGTTCAGCCAAAGATTGAACGTTATATGGTCGTAAGTAAAAAGGATTATTGTATTTGCGTACATTTTCTTTCAGTACTTCCATTCTATGCTGAATATTTTCATCTGATGTTGGAGTCTTTTGTATGTCGGTGAACATTTTTCGATATTCTTCTACTATGTCAGCCGAATTTTTCTTAGACTCTTGGAAAGATTCCATATTCACCTCATACTCTTGTTGAGGGTCAAGATTTTTCGGCTGTTCCAAATCTTCATCTAGTTCTGTGAAGTTAGTTTCCAAAGGAGGGACTTGTTCGTTTCCTTCAGGCTCTTCTAGCTGTTGTTGCTGAACTATTTCTTCCATGTCTGGTTGTATCTGAACTTCTTCCTGTGGAGTTTCTTGTACCTCATCTGCTGGCATTTCATATATTCCGAGACCGTTTTTAACAAGTTCCCTATCTAAGTCATCCGGACTCATAAACCTTTCTTCTTTCGTTCCGTCTCTATTTTTTACGCGTTTCATGAAGAGAGTTGAATTATCATTTAGCTCTGACATCAAATATCTCGGAGTAAATTCATTCATGTCATTTGGATGATATGCTATTAAATCATATCCCTTAGCGAGCTTGTATTTTCCAGGTTTGAGATTATATCCGATTTGATGCTCAACCATAAAGCTAAATAGGTTCGGGTCAGTATTTCCTTCCTTGAACTTTCTAATAGCTTCTTTATATCTGTCACTAAAGTCAAGAGTATCTGGGTAACCATAATCTTCCTTAAGCATTTTTAAGAATTCTTGGTTTCCTTTTTCTCTACTTCTTTTATGTCCTTGCTCTGTTTGTGGTTGTTGTTGTGCAGGGTTTTGAACTGTTGGTTGCTGTGCTGGTTGTGGAGGTGGTTGTTGTGCTGGTTTTGGTTGTGGTGCAGGTGCTGGATTTTGAACTGTTGGTTGTTGTGCAGGGTTTTGAACTGTTGGTTTTGGTTGTTGTTGTGGTGCTGGATTTTGAACTGTTGGTTGTTGTGTTGGTTTTGGTGCATGCCTGTGTCTGTGTCCATGTGACGATGTAAATGTTTTAGGTAGTCCTGGTGCAGGTGCTTCTCTTGGAGGGTTTGGTGGTATATAAGTTCCACCAGCTGGCACATATGTTCCATCTGCAGCATAATGTCCTACCTGACTTTTCGTTTTTAAGAAAGCATTTACTAGGTCTGTTTTGGTCTGTTGTAACTCTTTTTCTTGACTTTCCACAACAGTTGCTCTAACGGCGTCATAGGCACTTTGAACTGCCTGTCTCGTTGCTGCATCTGTTATTTTCGTCATATTTTGTGCTACTTCTCTTAACTCTTTGTCGAAACCTTCAGACTTCAGTTTCTTTCCAGATGAGAAGTCGTTCACTAGTTTCACCTTACTATGAAGAGCTTCGAAGGCATTCTTAAAGTCAGCATTCATTAAAGCTTCATTTGAACTGTCTTCATCCGCTTGTATTTTTGTCCTTATTGACCCTATAAGTTGGGCTGCTTTAGCGTTGGCTTGGGCATCTAACCAGTCATTATTAGCTTTTATATATTCTGCGCTTTTCATTGCCTTTTGCATGGCTGCGTCGTTATTTTTACTTTCTTGTGCTAAGTTTTCATACTGTACGGTTTGGTTTTGCAACTGTAAAAGTTTTTCTGCCTTTACATTTGCTTCAACTTCTTTTTTATACTCATCGCTATCCATATATGTCTTCATGGCTTTTTGTTTTATCTCTTCATCTTTCAGTACTTTATATTGAGTAGTATGGTTTTTCAAATTTATAACATCTTGTTCCATTTTTGCTACTTCTGCTGCTTTTTCTGACACTTTTTTCGCATATTCCTCTGTACTTAGTTCTTTCAGTTGTTCTTCTTTCTTCTTTTTCTCTACGTTTAACTCATTTAGTTTCTTTGTCTGTCTGTCATATTCTAGTTTCTTTTCGTTTTCACTTATTTGTTTCTGTATGTCTATGTTTGACTTTTTGACATCTGTTATTTGATTTTTGAGTGAACTCAAATTCATTTGACTTTGAGGGTTATAAGCTGTTCCGTCTGCAGCTCCACCATAGCCTGCCATTTTCGCTAAAAGTGCCGCTCTTAAACCTCCACTCTGTGCACCAATAACTCGGTTTAAAAGCATAGGGTTGCTTGACATTTGTTGCAACATAGTGGGGTCATTCATCATTTGTTGTTGCAACTGTTGTTGTGGTGTCAGTTTTACTATTGGATGTTTCAATGCTCCCTTCCTCTTACGTATATTCTTACGTAGCTTACGTGGCATTTTAAGTGAAGTTAAAAAGCGGTTTTTGACAGATGTTTATATGACACTTTTTGTTCAGCACAAAAAACTACTCGGTCAAAGTGTTGTCAGTTTTGTAAAATAACCGTCCTATCTCATTCTATAATGGAGAAAAGGCTTCTCAAAGTATACTTCCTTGGAATGCCTGTAACTTTTCCTGTAGCGACGATAGACCCTTACTTGTCCGGACAAAGTTATACTATTTTGAGTGCTCTACAAAAAAGTCAACGGCGACGACTCTCAAAAACCGTTGTGTAAAAAGTTTTACCGTTGGACAAAAAAGTATATATAGAAAACAAAAAACGTTTATAGTTCATTCAATATTTGAGATAAACCGTTTTTCTAACGGTAACTATTAAATAAAATAAAAAAATAGAGGGGGTTACCGTTGACGAAAACGGTTTATCTCAAATATTTAAATATCTGTCTTTTTTGGTCAGTTCATTTTTATCTAATGGAAGCCAACGCTGTTAACCACAATTCAAACATTAACAATTCTCAACCGCTAACCAAAGCCAAAGCTCCACAACCTCCAAGAACTGGCACAGCGGTTAGAATAACCACCAAAAAGTCTAACAGCGAATTAAGAGAAATTCTTCAACAAATTTGCTCTAAATATCTCAAAGACGCCGAAGAAAACACACAACCAGACGCTACATACAATACTCAGTTCTGTGAAGTTCTGAACAAAGCAATTACTAGTTCAATTGAACTTACTAAGACAATTCCAAGTCCAATTGAGCTTAGCGATGTCTTAGTTCAGTATTTTCCAACATTTACTAAGCTTATAATGTTGAGAACTTTATACCAAGTTCGTCAAAATCTTCCTCGTTACATCCAACGGTCATTCGACAAGAGAATTGCCGAATTCCAAGTCTTTAGTTACGGATATGACGAAGATGAATACGTTGACGAGTTCGGAGACAACCGTACAAAATGGTTTGAATATTATACGACAACACAATTTGAATTCGACTTTCTCGAATTCAACGCAGCAACCATTCATATCATTGCTCTTTACCTTTCCGAACAACAACAAGACCTCGCAGATGGAGATGTTGTTACTGTCGTCATGAAAACTCCTGAACAATTCGGAAAAAAGAAGTCTCTAATTGCCAAATTCGTTCCAGGACATCAGCTTTTCCAACGCACAGAAGTCTTCTGTATTCCTGGAACTAAGTTCTTTGTCAGGAGCGAACTCAAAGAAAGATATAATGTGTCATTCAATTACACATTATATAATGTTTTCGACCCAGAAGAAGGCTTCTTCCCAGAAGCAATGGAGGAGGAAGAAGAGGAGGAAATACAAGACTCTATCCAAGAAGAGTCCTCCGAATTCACACCAGAAGACTAACAATTTTCCGAATAAAAACTTCATTTATACTAAACATCTTCGGGGCTAGAGGGCGCAACGCGCCTGGAAGCCCCACTTACCTGACCTAAATATTGAAGATATACATATTGTTATATTGTTTTGTAAAAGAATTTATAGAACTTTTTAAAAAACTGTTTTTGCAAAAATCTCGGGAACATAATCCCCTCAATTTTATTTGAGAAATTCGTAAACTATTCAAAATTGAGAGCCATGTTCCCGAGATTATTGCATTACTATATTTTTGTATGTAGATTATGTTTTATAATTTAATCAGAATTAAGTAGCAATTGTACAATTGGCCAAACAAGATATATCGTCGTTCTTAAAACTTCATCAAATTGTTAAAAAAGTTAGAAGTAATGGATTAATGCTTGCTATACTCAATTTATGTTTTAATTTTTTTTATCAAATGTAACATTGACAGCTACACAGAACTTCAACAATCATTTTCTTATTTATTGTAATATCGATAACTTAATAGAGACTGGTATGAAATTGCATAGTAAGTATATTCAAAATATGCTTTACACATTTTGATTTTTTTATTTCATTGCGCCATATGAATAATGCGTCTATTTTAAAGATATTACAAATTGTCAACTATTGGATTACGAGTCGATTTTGAATTTATTCAAAAAATTGAATATAAATCGACTTTAAATAGATTATTTTCAAAATTAATTTTAATATTCTTATTATTTATATACGTTCCAATTTCCAGTTTCTAATACTTTCAAACATTTTTCTATATGGAATAATGCATCGTTCACATTAATTGGTGAACCATATTCTAAATGATGAGCAGAGATTGAATCATATTGTAACTCAAATAATTTACAACTTAAACAGAAACCTGCCAGAGAATTTTCAGGGAAATTCGCTGTAACGCATATAACAACAGTATTGTCGGCCATAAAAATGCATTTACAAATGTTTGAACCTACAGGAGAGAAAAGAAACTTAATCTTTTTGAAATCCCTGGCGCATTCAATAAGATTTGTATGATTATCTGGAATAAATTTCCAATCAATTGTTGGGAACTTTGCTTTTGCTGAATTTATTACTTCATCAAGATTATGAATATGCCTTCTCTTGCCTTTAGGCCTGTTTGTAAAGCAGTATTCAGATGGTGTAATTTTATCTAATTCGAATTTTTCATGCAAGAACCGTTTAAATCTGTAAGTGTTTGGCCCCCATTGACTGATGTAAAAGGTTCTATTTGCAAAACAATGGAGTATATCAGCCGAAATATATTCACCTTTATTTTTTGGTAAATATATTCTTCGATCTGGTAAAAAGCCTAGAAGATCCAGGAGTGTATTATAGAGAAATGGCATTGAGAATACAATAATATGTGATCTCCTTCTAATTTCTTCAGGAATTAAAAATAGTGGAGTGAAAAAATCTTCAAATGAATGGCCAAAATTATATGTTGCCCATAAATATCCTGTAACAATAACCTCGCGGTAATGGCCTACAACACTTGCATTTGTAGCGTTCCTTTCAAAATCTGTTGGTTGGAAAATGGTGTTTTCATCAAGACCTACAGCACCATTAAAGCTAACATATGCTCTTTCAAGTCTATAGTGTGTAGTCTGAAGTGTCTTGTAATAAAAGTTGTAGTCGTGTGTTTCTTTCGGTTTTCTATATGAGAAATGGTATTGCGTAGGATCTTCTATTGTTTCATTTATATATCGTAATACTGGCCAATTTTTTTCTAGAGGCACATCAATTTTGCGCTTAACTTTAAAGAATGATGCCGGTGTCCAATCCGGAGTTTCATATCCGAATAAAGCAAATTCTGGATTATAAGAATAAATTTCTAGGGCTACAAGAAATGAACAACTTACTAGTAATGAGAAAAGATCGCAAATAAACATACTCTGACACTCTAATATTAATTTCTGAATCGGTTTTACATCATTGAGCAATAATTATTAAATCTTGAAAATTAAGGCTGTATATGTAAGATTCCTAAAGGGATCAAAACTCTGACATAGAAAAAATTATATTTTTGAGATACAAATGGGTCGGTTTGATCATTGAATTAAATTCAATTTTTATATCACCTCAATCAATTATTTGTCTGCTGATAGAGTTGTTAGATTCCCGACGATAGGTGTCTTGGAAGATTTGCCTGGTGTCATCATAGTGTCTTTAAATCAAAAATTTTATTTTGGAGTTAGTTTTATTGATTTTTCAATAAAAAACATTTCTAAAACAAGAAAATAAAACGATAAAATATTTATATTTTATATAAGGATCTTATATATTTAAAATAAATATCATTTTATTTTTTTCATTGGTGTCTGTCAAACTTACCTGCCATGGACTCTTTCATAAGTTCCATGAAATCGTCTTCGGACAATCTGGGGAAAAGTATTATGTCAGTAAGTATTCTTTTAACATCCTTACTTAAACTCTTTGCTGTCTGTACACAAATGACAACTGAGATGTTAAAGTGTCTGAGCTTCTTAAGAATTCGACACATATCTTGTTCTCTGTTCTTTAACAAAGGATGAGAGGCGAAATCATCTAAGATAAGAAGACATCTATGAGGGTAAGTCTTCCAATCGTAAGATTGCAATTTCTTCGAAATGTATTCTATCTCTTTCTGTTTGTTTCTGAAGTGGTGTTTGTCTAATATTCTCTGCATTTCCTCATTAGGTTCTTTAAACTTCGAATTTATATACTCATTTATAGCATTATACTTCAAAACTCTTCTTTGGTACTTCTTTATCCAATCTAACAACTCAGTATCCTTTATACATACTAACTTAGACTTCTTTATAATATCTTTGAACGAATTGACGGTTTGGTCAAATTGACCAGAAGTACTACAAATAACAACTAACTCATAAAATGGGTTCTTCTCATCTAGTTCTTGTTGTTGTGCAGCCATTTTAAGATAAGTGAAAGTCTTACCCGACCCAGGTGGTGCAATTAGACCTGTTATACCATTCTGAGCAAATAAGAACTTTTCATGTATAGGCTTTATCTGAGCATTTTCTAACTTCCTCTTGTTCTTGTTTAAAACATTCTCAAATTTCTTGTCAATGTCAGCAAACTTTTTTCTAACATATTTTTAGAAAAATTAAAATTTTTATCTTTTAGAAAATGTCTAGCGATTTCGCTATCTATATTCGAGACAAGCTTTTCGACAGCAAAACATCTGTAGACCATAAAACCTTACATAATGTAAACAAGAAAGGTGAATTTGTTCTAAAGTTCTGTTTCTGGGAATATGACAAGAACCATAAAACATTACAAAGAGCAGTCTTAAAATTTGTCAATGACAGACTTGTTGACAGAGATGACGCCGATTGGAAAGATGAAGTCCAACAAAAGTTCTTAGAATGCAAAGAAGACACATGCGCTGTTCTTGAAGATGAAATAGAAAACAGAATAGAAGAGCTATTAAAGGACAAAGAACTTTTACATAGATATGGTTCTGAGAAATTTGACATATCTCCACCAGAGAAGAAGAAGAAAGAAAAGAAAGAAAAGAAAGTAGAAGAAGAGAAGAAAGAACCAGAGCCAATTCCACCGAAGAAGAAATTTGACATGTAAAAATAAAATTTTATTTTTAGAACATTTCTGGGTCAATGTCAATGTTCTCTTCCTCTTTAGGAGTAAACACTGGCTTAGACTCTAATAGCTTTTTACCCAATTTACCTTGAACTTCTACAACTTTAGACTCATAATATTCATAGTCGTCTGTCTTCTTTGGTTCATAAGGTATAACAAGTTTGTATGCTTTGCCTTCTTAAGGTTTGAGAACCTTCTGTCAAAACTTTCTTTGACTGCTAACAAACCTTCTATGTCTAAGTCTTCAAATTTCGCACCATTTTAGTCACAATAGCAAACTTAACTGGTTCGATGTTCCAAACTTTGCTGAATGAAGACTTTTCAAAATGGTAGAAATAAACATTCAAATATGTGAATGGGTCTAGTTCTTCTTTAACTCCTGACATGTACTTGTTTACTGAAATCTATTTCGTCATCTTTTCTATCGGATAAAAAATATTTTTTTTTAAAATTTACTCAGAAAAAATTTTCTTTGTATATACACCATTCTGAACATCTAAAAGACTTTTGACATTTGCCAAGAATGTTCGTTTAGACGCTGGCATATAACCATACTCTTGACAATATTGTTTATACGAATCGTACAATGACCTTTCATCTAATGACACAAAGTCAGTTTCATCTACGAACAGTTCATAAACACTCTTGTTTGCTTCTAACAATGTTTGTCTCTCTTCGGTATGTGGAATTTGTCTTGGATTGAACTTAGAAATATCTAATGTCATGAAATATGAGAACAAGTGGTTGTAAAAGTCAGATGTCAAACATTCTGACAAAGCGTCAAAATATTCAGTATCTTGCATATGAGCTTCTGACGTTCTGACAACTACATATCTTCTGTCAGAACTTTCTAACTGCATCGGAACAGCATTGTTTGAAACCATAATGAAGTTTGCAACATTTTCACAAACTCTTTGGTCTTTATACTTTCTTTCAACAACTCCAACTTTGTCTGTTATAAGACTCTTCAAAGCATCTGAGTTCAAAACTTTTGTTGTATCTATACTTTGAAGTTCATTGCAAACTATAAGTTTCATATTCTCTATTGAGGAGTTAAACTTGCCACAGATGTTTTCTAAGTTTGTCATATTCGGATTCGAATAACCTTCTAACAGTTTGCACAAAATATCTGTAAAGAAAGTATTCTTACCAGTTCCTTGTTTTCCAATTATAATGAGAGCAGTTTCATTTTTAGCACTTGGATGTTGTAAGATATTTGCAAACCAACATAAGATATACTCATAAACCTTTTCGTTTCCATTGCATATAATTTCTTTGACATGGTCTAACCAAGCTTCTATAATACTGTGTTTCCATTCTACTTGTTCGTATTTATATCCAGTGAAGATAGAATAGAAGTTTGGAGAAGGTGTATAGAACTTTATACCTCGAACTGAAAAATCTTCTAACTTTGACAATAAGATATCCCAAGCATCTAACATCTTCATGCCAACTTGTACAACTTTTATTTTCTTAAGTTTCTGTCTACATTCTTGTTCAGACACTATTGTTGCTCTTGGTTTGTTAAAGACAACATCCCATTCTTTCATGACATAACATTCTGGGGCAGAGTCAACATAAATGACTAAACGTTTCAAATTCTCGACTGCTTTGTTATAGTCTCTAAATGGACACATATTTCTGAATGCTTGGAAGTCATAAAAATCTGAAACATCTATTCTGTACATTTTTATAAAAATAAAAAAAAATATTATTTTTTTATTCTTGACTTTGTTGTTCCATTTGTTGCATTTGTTGTTCTTGAGCTATTTGTTGTTGAAGTTGTTCTTGTAATACAATACTTTCACCAGTTGCATCTTCCAATTCGAAACTTTCTGCCGTCATTGACAAATACATAGGACATAAAAGTTTTACAGGAACAAAGTTTGCGTCAACTAATGTCAACGTTATACTTGCCAAAGTGTTTGAGTTCACTAAGGTTGAAAATTCTGCATTCGAATGAACAATAGGCAAACCAGCAGAGAAAGTATTGTTTATACGCATAAGTATCTTTTGGTCATAATAGTTTCTGTCGACATTCGAATAACACTTTGAACCTAAGTTTGAAACAATATATAAGATTGGTGTGCTTAATGTCAATGGAATAGACATTCCTTGTATGACACCTTTTCCTGTTATAGGAAACTGTTGGTAGTAAAAACCAGAAATAAGTTTATTATAGCTCATATCGTTTATAGTAAACTCAGTCGGACATCCAAACATAATGAAACCTGCTCTAGTTGCAGCACATGTTACACCCGTACTTAAAGTATTAAATAAGTCAACAAAACCTGTTGGTGGTATATCTGAGTAAGTATCTTCAAAGGAGTATTTTTTACCATTCACAACAATAAAGTCTTCTGGTGTCAAAAGAGCAAAACAGGCTTTAGTCGTCATTGTGTTTAAGGTTAGTTTACAATATCGTCCTTGAGGACTTTGTAAGTTTGTTGTTATAGAATTATATGACTCAGGGTTTTTAGTCGTAATAGTATAAACCATTATGTCTTCTGCCATTTACTTAGCAAATAAACTTTAATGAAATGTTGTGGTCGTCAAATATTTTTATAACGTCTGGGAAACTATATTTTAAGTTCAACGTTTCACCTCCTTTCATAACGTATATCTTGTCAATGACATTATATGAAACACCACAGCAACCAATGTCGGGTTCTATTTCTTTGATGTTTATATCGTCTGCCTCTGTCAAAAGTTTCAATAGTTCTTTCAAAACTTCATGAGGTGCAATGACATATGAGTTCACTTTTACAGGGTTGTGTTCGCCAAGTTTAACATTATACTTAAAGCTTGACAAATCTTCTCCTGAGTTTGAAGTTTGTCTTTCAGTTGTTGGTAGTCGTTTCGAATATCTGCAACAGAACTTAAGTCTCTGTTAACTTCAGGATATGTTGGTTCTTTTACAGGAACAATTGTTATACCATCTTCGTCTTCGTATGGTTTCCCCACTTCAACATCTCTGTCTTTGACATTGACAATAACACTTTGACTGTTTGTTTGGGTTGGTGAATTTAACTTAACATCTGCCACCGCCATTAAACCTTTTGAAACACTTACGCTTCTATTTTTCGGAAATGACATTTTACTTAGAATAAAAAGATGGACGTATTCGGATATCTTATTGAATTGAAGCAGAACAAAGTTTATACTCACAAACAATACAAATACATTGACAGAATAGTTCTTTACACAAACAATGGAAAATGTTATAGAATAGCAGTCTTTGCTGAACCTAAATATTTTCATAAAGCAAAGAAAGTTGGTATAACTGAAATGGTGAAAGTTCTTGAAGCAGACAAAAATATAACTTCAAAACTTACAGATATTACTAAAGGAAAGTTTATAATACAATATTATGTCAAAACTGGCGTACTGTCAATATTTGACGGAGAGAAGTCAGTTCAAGAACAACTTACTGACCTGCTGCCAAAATCTGCTCGATGGAAGCTGTCGTTATGCCAATCTGAGGAGCCCCAGCAGGTTTCATCGAACGAATCTTCAAAAGAGCATCTTCCGTGAAAAGTGCTATTGGTTTTGTAAACTTCTTTGCTCTCAATTCATCTGGACCGTCTCTGTCACCAGTATATTGTATTTGAACTGTACCAACAGTTGAAATACTACCCATAAAGTCTTCTGAGTCAGCAAATGGAATGCCAAGCCAAAAGTTTGAACGGTCTCCATTTGTATATTGAGTTTTTTGACCTCCTGTATGAGTCCATACTTTCACATATGGCATAATAGAACTTTGCATTTCAGGGTTAATAGTTGTTGTGAAGTTGTTGTTAAAGTTCATAGCATCTAATGTCAAGTTGTATGACCTCATATCCTCAACTGTAGAATATTCTTCTCTTGGATAATATTTGCCATCTATGTTTATATGATATTTAATACCAGGGTTGTAGAAACAAGAATAGTCATTTATAGTTCGTCTGAACAGTACAAACATAGTATCTGCATGTTTCATTGCAGTTGTTAAAGCAATATCTGTTCTTGCACCTGCGGCTCCTGGATTTTGGTTTCCAACTTCACCTGCAAAGTCTTTGACAGATATTTGGTGTATAGGGAACATAAGTGGAACTGCAATATATTTGGCAGCTAAAGCATTTGAAATATCTGGGTCCAACATATAGACTGCAAGTCTGCTTTCTATTCTCTTGCATTCAAATTTTTCGCATGTGAACTTAACTGGGTCCCAAGCAGTTCCAGCAGCATTGAAATAATAGTTTACTTCATTGTTGAAGTTTGAGAAACCAAAGTCTAAGTCAACTTTGTCTTTGCAAAATTCGACGAATGACGTTTGATTTGTTCCCTTTACGTCTGTAATAGTGAATGGGTCTTGTGTTGGTGCAATGACTAAGTTATTTTTGCTTGGAGTAAGTTCGATAGAAATTTTTCCTGCCCAGTTTGGCAAGTATCTTAAAAACCTGAAGATGAGGAAAGATGACAAAGGAACTCTAAGTTTCAGTTTTACTTTAGTGGCAGCAGTTCCATCTGAACCAGAAAGGTTAACATAAACTCCTGGAACGTTAGGGTCAAGTCTTCTTATTTTCTCAATAGTTGCATACTGGTCTGTTTGTTCTCTAGCTTGTGGTTGTACTGAGTTTCTCAAAGCGAACCATTCATAGTTTGCCCATGTTACTGTTTGAACTAAGTCAGAGTTAGAATATATCTTATATCCCATGAAAACTTCTGGAGCATATTGGTATCCGACATAGAAAATTCCATTGCAACCTTTCTTGTCAGACAACTTGGAAGAAGGTTTTATTTCAATGTCTTGTTCCACGTATAAGAATGAGTTGTCAATAGAAATAATATGAAACCTGTCGCAAGCAATATCTACTGTTGTTGAAGAACCTTCTCCAAACTCACCTACGTTTCCATAAGAAACAGCAGTTGTATATTCGTAAGTTCCAGGAACTATTTCTGACCTTCTAATGGCATTATCGCATTCGTTATACCATTCGGAA